GATGAGGAAGAATAATTTTGCTTGGTGCTTGTTAAGTGCTACAAGGACAGCCTGAACACTGCAACATGTTCCCAAGGGCTGTGACAGGGAGCTGAGCTGGCAGGGCTCATCTGTTGGAAGTCACGGCTTAGGAGCGCCAGAGGAAGGTGTTAGAAGACCTCAAGTGAGGCTACGTGTGATTCCCTGAGCCTGTGGTGGTGTCCTGTTTTAATATTTATTGGTTTGTCAAATTGGTGAGAAAGTGAAATGTTAAAACTGCACAGTTGTTGGACGTTGTTTCCCCTTCTTGGAAGGGAAATGCCTTACATTCTATGGCCTTGATCTCTGTGTGTCATGACTATATTATTTTCTTTTTTTTCCCAAAGGTATCTTTATGTATTTGTTTTTAAGATTTATCATTTTATTGGAAAGGCAGATTTACAGAGAGAAGGAGAGACAGATCTTCCATACACTGGATCATTCCCCAAATGGCCACAATGGCCGGAACTGAGCCAAGCTGAAGCCAGGAGTCTCCTGTGGGTCTCCCACGCACGTGTAGGGTCCCAAGGCTTTGGGCCGTCCTCGGCTGTTTTCCCAGGCCACAAGCAGGGAGCTGGATGTGAAGTGGAGCAGCCAGAATAACCACCAGTGTCCATACGGGATCCCGGCACATGCAAGGAGAGGATTTAGCCACTAGGCTATCACAGGGGCACCCGTGGTTCATTTTTGTGGTTATTGCAAATCTGTTTTTTTCGCCTTCAGATTTCAATAGGGAGGCAGGCCGGGAATGGCACACCCTAGTGATAAAACCTGGTATGCTTGGAAGAACTATGTGCCTTTCTAATTTCTTGTCCTAAGAGTAGAAAAACACCTGCTTTGGAAAAAAGTCCTAAGGCTAGAAAATCCGGGATGCTTATTGTGTAAGTAGATACTATTTATGCATTTCCTGCTAATTAATGTGTATCACTGCTACATTGTATCAGAGAAACTTGCATTATGCACAAAGAAGTTACATTGTATATAACTTAAAGGTTTTGAGAATTTGTGTGTTTCATTGGAAAGGCAGATCAGATTTGTGGAGTGAGAGACAAAGCTTTTCTATCCACTGGTTCACTTCCAGTGGCTGTGCAATGGCTGCAGCCCAGGGGATCTGAAGCTAGGAGCTGCTTCTGGGTCTCCATGTTGGTGCAGGTGCCCAGGGGTTTGTGTCATCCTCTATTGCTTTGGAGGCCACAAGCAGGGAGCTGGATGGGAACTCCCTGCAGCAGGGATGCAAACCAGCGCCCACGTGGAATCCCCATGTGTTCAAGGCAAACATTTGGCTCCTGAGCCATTCATTGCTCTGGGCCCTAATTCAGTTTTCCGTTAAGTCTTGGGTTTGAACTAAACTAGGTTGTCTTCTCTCTTCTGTGCTCTTGGTCTGCTTGCGGACAATTTGCGTCATAGTGGCTGGTTTCCCGTTTCCAGTGCACCTGACCCCTTGTCTGGGGGTTCCTGTCCATGTGCTGTGTCAGAGCCACGACTCAACAGAGATCTTGTAAGATGCCCCAGCAACCTCTGTGAGCCTGAACACTCGAAGGAAGCCCTGTCTGAACACGAGCACAGAAGTAGCCAGCTGCTGTGATGGGAGACTGGTCTATTAATGTCTCCCATGGGTGCAGTTGAGGAGTTTACAAGGAATGATGAGGGTGTTCAGCATCTATCTCCTGTTGTAGAATCAAAAAGTAGGTTCTTTATTCAAAAGACAAATTGTTACGTATGCTCAGATTCCTCTTTCTGTCTGATTACATCATGGTTAACAGTGTTTCCAAAATAACCTCACTGACCTTCAATGAAAGAAATATTTTTTCTCAGTTAAAAATCAGAAGTAATTGTAGATCAGATATATACAAAAGTTTTCATTGTTAGAAAAGGCTTTAAAAAATTTTTTTCTACATGCTTCTGATTTAATAAGGTATGTTAAAACAGAGTGTTTAATTATTAAGAAGAATCGTCAATGTGGTTGATAGTCCTAAGATTACTGTGCTAATGTGATAAATGAATTTTTTCTTCACAGTTCAACTAAGGAAGTAAGTCTTAAAATAGCAATCCTTTGCATGAATTGTGCTTAGAATTTGAAAGCAGTTTTGAAAGCCTAGGAAAAAAGGTTATTCTGTTTCTCAAAAAAAATTTATTTTCACTTTTAGGCACAGATCTTCCATTTGCTCCCCAAATGTTGGCAGCAGCCAAGTCTGGACACGGCTGGAGTCAGGAAGTCTCTCTGCATCTTTTGTGGGTGGAAGGGACTCAAATATATTTCAGTTGTTAGCTACTGTTCGCCAGTGTCTAGATCAGAAATGGAGCGGTCAGGATTTGCCAGGGTCTCCATCATGGGTACAGTGCCCCACGTGGTGTAGTAATGCTGCGCCAAATGATGCTATTTCTCCTCGAAGTTTTAGGCACTATGCAAGGCTGGTCACTGGATAGTTTCTAGTTATTCTGCAAAACGGGCTCATTGAACTCCTAAGTTATTACAGTCAGTAATAACTCCTAAGTTATTACATAGTCCCAAGACAAGACTATTGTGGGTTACCCTACTCTTTGTTTACAAGTTTTGTCCTTTGTGAGTTTGCCTGAATGGTGGCATTTTGGTGGGGATTTGAGCTGGGCTGGAGAGTGCCCTCTTGTGGCCAGGGCTGGTGTGGTTACCAGGCTGCCAGGTCTTTTCCTGTGGTGTTAAACCTCAGCTTCCTTTGAGGTCAAGCAGACTATCTAGAAAATTTAGCTGAGTCTTATTTTGAAATTATTTAGATCTCTATTGGGTATCAGGAGGCAGCGTTCTCCCAGCAGCTGGGTCTCTGGGAATGTTGAATGCTGGATTTATCTTTTCACAAACTCAGTCTTTTTTCACTTATTGTATTATAAATGTATGGTAAACATCTGTATATCCTGAGTGAATTAACCAACACAGTTGTGATTTACTTAAGACATGTTAGAGTGTTGTAAAATGTAGTATGGAAATGTATTATAAGCTACTTCTTCAAGCACAGTCATTGATGACTTCCTGGATAATGCCGACATGTGGTGAGAAAGGTTTAAGGAGTTGTGCTGTACTGCTTTGGAAAGCCTAACACGAGCTGTTTGGCAGCTAAGGTGTAGTGCAAGGTGAGCTGCATATGAGCTCACCATCTCAGTGTGATAAAGGATCGGGGATGGAGGTTCAGTTCAAGGTTATTCTGTATAGGAATAGTTGTTGGCTGTCTTGATCTTTACTTTTTGTTTTAATTTTCATTGAAAGGCAGTTTTCACAGAGAGGTCTTCCACCCCATTGGTTCATTCCCTAAGTGGCTGCAACAACTGGAGCAGATCTGCTCAGGAGCCTCCTCTCGGTCTCCACTGTGGCTGCAGAGACCCAAGGACCTGAGCAGCCTTCTGCTGCTCTCCCAGGATACACGCAGGGAGCTGCGCCATGGGATGCGGGTGCCACAGGGTGGCGGGTTAATGTGCTGGTTTACCATGCCCCCTGCTCTATTCAACTGAATCTGAAAATATTTTCTTTTAGGTTGAAGTCCTAAATAGAATCACTGGAATTGGCATTCCAGAGTCAATCTAGCACATTTGTATTAGTTCAGAATGTAAGTTTTAGAAAGTAAAATATTCTCAGTGTTGAGCTGTTTCAGAAGGATACCCTTTATGTGTGCAACATTTATGGCTAAGATAATTTTTCATTGCTTGAAAAGAAATGATGGAATGCCCAGTGGTGTTTACTGTGTTAGGCCTAGATCCACTGAGTACAATGTGACAACACTGGCATGTTAACAAAGTTAAAATCTGTCAAATCACAGAGACATTTTGAAATGTTTGGAAGTTAAATATTGGGACAGATGTGGGGTTTTTTTTTTTTTGTACCTTTTTGCGTGCTGTGCTTGTTATTCCCACAGAAACACCACTTATTATTAGGTCTTAAGCAAATTTGGAAGTTCATCTTTCTTCCTATGGATCATCCCTTTCAGGATTTCAAGTCAGGTATATGGGCTCGCTTGGTTGGAAAGGCATAGGCATAAACAGGTATTGTTAAGTTTCTTGGGAGTCTTCCTACCGCATCGTGTGAGTGGCAGGTTGTAACTGTTGGGCTGCTGGGTGTGGTAGTTTAGAGTCATGTTTGGTTTGCAGGGGTGAAGGGTACCTGGGCATCTGCTTGCCCCATGTTTACAAGCCGTCTTCTGGTAGCAAGATGAAGTGCTCTATTCTTGCTTGTACAGCGGCTGTCTACCCCTGCACCCTTGCGGTCCCTTCTGGGTAGAGAGTATGGTCCATGGCTGATATTTCTTTAGGCTGTCCTGTGTTCTTCCCAGGGCCCCACAGCAAAGTTCAGTACCAGTGATGGCAGCATAAAGACCAAAGGTAAACATCTTCTGATACTAGGCACATATGTGTATGTAAGTCTTTGTAAAAAGCACTCAAGTACAGGGCCTGGGACGGTAGTCTAGTAGCTAAAATCCTCACCTTGTATGCACCAGGATCCCATATGGGTGTCAGTTCCCAGCCAGTTTCCAGCTTGTGACCTGAAAAACCAGTCAAGGATGGCCCAAAGCCTTGGGACCCTGCACTGCAGGTGTGGGAGACCCCAAAGAGGCTTCAGGGTTCCTGGCTTTGAATTAGCACAGATTTGACTATTGCTGCCACTTGGGGAGTGGATTCATCAGGTGGAAGATCTTCCTCTCTGCCTTTCCCCCTTTCTGTATATCCAACTTTCCAAGAAAAAAGCACTCAAATACAGACAGACTTGGTGAAAGCGATGGTGGTTTTGCTCATGTTGTAATCTGACCCAATACAGTTCGGGAATAACAGCAATGCTGTTGGTTTAGAGTGGCAGCAGTTGGTATTTTCCCCTCTAAAATGTTGGTCAACTGATGTAAAAAAAAATCCAGTTTGGTCCCACAGTTATGTTGGTTTTACTTTAAACAAGAAGGGCTTCCTTCCCCCCTCCGTAATTACTTGTGCTTAACTGCATTTTCTTCCTTTTCTCTACTATATTTCAGCACAAAGACATTAGCAGGCTGCTGGTTTCATGGACCTGTACCACAATGACAGAGAACATCACAGCATCAGGACTGAATGAAATTGGAGATTTTTAAAGCTGCACTAAGAAGTAAACATTAAGGCAGTTACTTAAACCGACAGTCTCTGAAGGGGCACTGGCAGACTGCTGTTATGCTGAGAAAAGGTATTAGGGACTATTTATAACAAACTATTGCAATAAGTAATGCATGAGATGAGGAGAAAAGTTATGTGAAATACACATACGAGAACTCACTTGAATTTTATGTATGAAGAATGTGAAGTTCCTGTTAGTACGATTTGGAAAGGCCTAAAAGGCATGGAATGATGTGGAAATGTTTAAGTATTTTTCATACTTAAATTGTGTGCTTTCTCCAAGGTTTTTCAGTTCAGATTTGAGCAAAGGTATTTCTGAAATGCTTGCCTGTGAAACAGCAATAGTCATGTGCTAAGGCCAATGTTTCCTTCACGGTGCCAGGACACACAGGCAGGAGTTACCATCCTGCAGCAAGGATGGCCAAGTGCCCCAGCCCCTCGAACCCACCCCACCAACACAATGTGGATCTTCTCTTGGACAAAGCAGGGCTGTATTTTGAATATATGTTTGCTTGTTAGAGCATATTAAGATATATTTATTTGCCACTAGTATTTAACATTTTGTGCACATTTGCATTATTACATTCTCATCTTTTCTCTTTTGACTCAAAGTGGATAGGCCAATGATCTTGGAGTAAAAATTAATACTCCAAGAACTACTGAGCTGGCAAACTTGTATTATTGTTTCTCTCCTTACCAACTGAGCTTGTTCAGAAAGCGTGACAACGTCTGAGTTTTGATGTGGACTGCTTCCCAGACAGCCCTTCTTCCAAAGGGATTCTCGAAGGTTTCTGGAAGGATGTGGGCCACTAGGGTGAGTAGCAGGAATAGATCCACAGGGGTAGTGTCACACGTTTTGTGCATGAAACAAATTCCTAGAGACCATAATTTTTTTTTTACATTTGGTAAATATATTATGGAATGTTTTCTTTTGGAATGAATGGAGAAAACATGAGAAAATCAGATGGACTTGTTAGTACATTTTTAAGGCTTTTTTATATTTGATGGTGCTGTACTTTTAATAAAAAAAACAGGTTTTTTAGTGGCAATACTGATTTATTTTTTAAACCAGAAAGATAATCCATATTGATTACTTATTACAAAAAAAGAAAAATGCCAAAAATAAAGCTCACAGAATTCATTTGAAACAACAGATCACTGAGCGTGTGGCTCAAGTGTTCAAACTTTCCATCCTATTGCTGTGTAACTTTGGAATTACCTAATTAAAGCCCCATGCTCAGAGCTCACAAAAGGTTGTGGGCCGGAGTTTTAGAGCATGTTGTGTATCTGAGTATAATTCGTTTTACCACTCAAGAAAGGCAGGAGTCTTATGTCCAGTCAGCTTAATGCAAATCCTAATTACACAGCAAAGAATTTAAAGTTTTGACTACATTGCAAATTTATCTTTTGGGCAAGTCCATAGCATGAAATCATTTTTATCACATTGGAAAAATAAGCTCAGGAACTGTAGCAGCAGGGAGTACTAAAATGAGATATCCTCCAGGGGTGCCCCACTCTGCCCAGGGCTTCGGCTCGGCCGGCCCTGTTCCTCCAGCTCTACAACACCAGCAGCATCTTTTAGCCTCACTTCAAGAACCAGGTAACTCCCAAGCCATGGTGGAATTAACAACACAGACCGGATGATCAGGATTTTAAAAATTAAGCTTTATATAAAATTTATCTGTGCAGAGGGATGGAAAAAAACAATAATATAATGGCAAAGAACTGGGAGAAATCAGACTTTAAGTATCTGTTTTCTCTCATGACCCATTCTCAAAGATGTTTTGTTATAAAGTGAATGTTTATAACAAAAAACTTGGTGTTTTTTAAGGTCTACACTTACCGTATTGCTATTTCACTTTCATTGCTTTAGTTGCTTAATATTTAAGCTTTGCTTCATGCTACCTGTTGTCTGTATTTCAAATCTTCACAAGCCTATTTTGTTTTGTAGACTTGAATGACAAAACTTGTTTCATTATAAGTATGCTCAGAGTTAAATGTCAAAGAACGTTGTGTAACATTTATTCAATAAAGTCTTTGATTTTTTTTTTAAGTTTAGTTATTTAAGAAATATTTAATTTTTAAGAGTTAGGTTATTTATTTTTAAATATGGAAAGTGGTGGTGCTAGTGCGCACAGGAGGGCCCAAGGGTTTGGGGTGCTACACTCACGTGCAAGTTCCAGGGTTTAGGAAGTGAACCAGTAGGTGGAAGGCATCTTCTCTCTTCCTCTGTAAATCTTCCTTTCAAATACATCTCAAGGAAATAAACAAACTTGAGAAACAGACATCATGCATTTGCTGGCTAATTCTCCAAATACCTGCAATACCAAGAGCTGGTCCAAGTTTCCCGGGCGGGTGGGTGGCAGGGACCTCCGTACCTGAGCTATCCAGAATGATATAATATACATATATTATATCATATATTATATATACATATGTATATATACATATATAATATATCATATATATTATATCATATAACATATAATATATAGATATATTAGTGACAAGCTGGATTGGGATCCAGTAGGTGGAACTCAAGCCAGCACTGTAATAGGATGCAGGTAACTCAAGTGATAGCTTAACTGATAGTGCCATAGCACCCCCCTTTCATGGTAGAAGACAAGCAACTGCCTATCTGATGGAAACAATCTGTTCTGTCCATTGAGGGCTTTTAGAGTCCTGCCTTTATGGATAAATGCATTCTGCATCACATTCTGACTTGAAAAAAACCCATCAGATGGTTGAAGGTTTTTGGGACTCGCCCAAAAACAGGTCAGTGTAGTGTTTTCTTTTTCCATTTCAGTAAAGCAATACTTGAAGTTTCCAAGTTAATCTACAGTACACATGGAATCTTCTTCCAAGCATTGTCCTGTTTAATTTTACCTGAGTACTCAAAGGCAGCCACCGGAATCTGGCTCCTGTCCAACCTGCAAGTTTCTAAGTAAAGAAAACTGCAATAGAGAAAACCAGGAAAGGTAGACACCCCGGGTATGTACCATGTGGGGAGGCCTACCCGAAACATGTACTATCCCATGTAAACATACAGACACAGACAGTGACAAAACACCAAGATAATACCACTTACAATCTTACCGACCTGGTCTTCTGATGAGGACGTATAAAGGTCAGGTTTGGGGGCTGCACCACTGCTACCCGCAGGCACCCTGGATGGATCGCCACAAACGCTGGCTCCCCAGCAAAGTAAGCGGTTTTCATGCTTTTATACCAAGTACTAACCGTTTGCTCTTCCAAGTAAAGATTCTTTTCTCAGTACTTTGGATAAAGTCATATTTCAGGTGTCTTTAAGCATACTTACATGATGTGTCCTTTCAAATCGTTGCCTATTCAGAATGAAATTCCATTGCATTAACAATTTACCCTAGCCTTAGACATCAACAGAGTAATAAATGGGATGGAGAATTGGATCTGAAAATTGCTGTGTCAGACTAAGAGCGAGCTGGCCAGGTGTTTCCTTGTGAGGGAACTTTGCAGAAGTAACCTTGTGATGTAAAGCAGGGAAAGTGAGTCGGAGAGGAGGCCTGCTTCAACACAAATAACTTGCTTTAGTCTAACAGGAAGGAGACGGTGGGTTCGCATGCAGCTAAGAATAGCCTACCCATCAGCGCAAGTCAGAGCCTCGCTAACAGAAAAGAGGTATGAAATTCAGTGTCGCCAAGCTTTTCCGTGCCTACTCATGTAAGCCCAAAAATACTAGAGACTGAGAATTTTTAACTGAAATTCTAGAATTTGTTGTTTCTGAATTCTGAGCTTAATAGCTCCTCTGGTTCCTGTGTAGGCAGATAAAACCTTATGTGATCTTCTAAGATCATTTAAGTTGGACTTCTAAATAAGGTGCACTCCAGTATGACTGAATTGCTCTGAAATGGAAGCAGAGCCCTAAAGTGCTTCTGGCACGAGCCACCAGTGTCTTTGTAAAGAAACAGATCAACCATGAAGACAGTGGTGGGTCTGCCTGTTTCAGTGCATCTTCTAGAATACCTGTAGAAAAGGAGGCAGTGTAAGACTGGAGCTATAATCCCCACATTTTGATGCTGCCATTGGCTGCCTTTAAAATACCACACTGTCCTAGGAAACTATCGCACCTTTATTCTTTAAGGAAATGAAGTAAAAGTGCAGTATTGGTGGCTGTCAAGCCATTTCCAACAAGTCTGTGTTGAGACCAACTGCCTCACACCACCATGCAAGCTGCCAACCTGTCACTCTCTTCTGCCCACTCCCGGACTCTGAGGACTCCTGCCTGCAGTTCGCAGTTTCAGCTTTGTGCACCACTGAGCTCGTGTGCACCTGTGCCTAGGCAGCAGCAGGTGCTTGTGGGTAAGCCCAGAGCAGGGATCACAGTGGACATCTGGCTGGAACTGCACCCCCTCGAGGAATAGTAAGAAACTGCAACTTCTTCCAATCTAGCGCAAAAAGCCTTTCGGTTGGTTCTTTTCATATGTCACAAGCAGCATGGACTGGGTCACTGCCACTAGCTGTTGGCTGTGGGCGTCCCTGGCAGTGGAGCAGCAGGTCTTGCCATGCTTCAGTGAAGTAGGAAAGCTGAGCTTTCAAAGTTTCCCCTTGGGTGAAAGGAAAAAGAAGGTAGGGAGTCCTATTTCTGGTTTTGGCTAATAGAGCTTAACTTTTGCATAAGAACACATTCCTAGCAAAAGACCTGAGACTTAGAAAATTAGAAAAAACTTTTGTTAGACTATTTATATCCCAAGAGGTTTGTAAAGGTACAGCACTACTAGTGACCAGTGCCCAACTACCCACTGCTAGCTTCGTTTCCATATTGAAAACTTTGAAGTATAAAAACAGAGCACATCCCCAGTAATTTTCTTAACGTTCTCACTCATGTCTCTGCCTCCTGAAGGATGTTTTAAGTAGTTACCTAAACACTAAGATTGTGTTGGCCCTGCCTTTGGGCAGGCTGGCAGCAACTAATTCACTCATTTTTAGGAGCATGGCGCTCTACACTCCACAGGAGTAACTGGAAACCATCACCTCCTTGCCCTGAGCACCTTTTAATTGTGCAGTTCACTGCTGGCCACTTCAGGTAGAAAGTGAACACACTTGCATTTAAAATGGTTTCCTCTTATTTGAAAGGCAATGATAAGACAGAAGGGGAGCTCTTCCATCAGCCAGACAGCCCCCAGTGCCTGGAACAGCTAATGCTGAGGCAGCTGGCAGGGACCCAAGTACTTGTGTCATGACCTGCTGCTTCAGGAAGCTGAATTAGGAGCACAGGAGCCACAGGATGTGGCTGTCCCAAGCAGCAACTTATCAGCTATGCCCAACATCCCTTGTACTTGCCATTTTAAAGGAGATCCAGGTGATGGAAGGAGTACAGAATAGCTTGGCTGAAGAGGATCAGGGTCTTCAAACAAGAGGACTTCCAGGAGATCCTACTGGGGCTGTGTGGGTGTGAAGTGCACAGCGTATAGATACAAGTATTAGAGGCTAAGAGTCCAGTACCTATAAAGGAAGGCAGTATGAACAGCAGGTGAAGGAGCTGACCCCAGAAAGTGACAAAAACAAAAAATCAGCCTGGGCTTGGGTTGGCAGCAGATGTGTGATGCAGTATCCAGATAAGGGTAGCTCCACTGAGCACGCACAGCTCTGGCCAGCTTAAGGGCACAGAAAGAAGGGGCAGGCCCCGGGCCAGTCCTTGGCATTCTATGCGCATCTCAGTTTCTACAGTGGTGGGGCGTAACTGGACTTTTAAGGAGACCAAGCCTGCTATTAACTCGCGTAGCTGTCACCACAGCACTCTCGCCTCCTAGCATAGCCTTCCTCTCGGGTTGTAAAAGGCAGGATTGGCAGGCCTGTTTTACTCTTTTGCTTAGAGAATGTTGAAAAATAGGAGTGCTCATCAGAAGCTGGATGGGAGGTGGGATTAAGTCATAAGTTTATTTTGGAGCAAAAATTCTGAAGTCATGCGTACGAGGGAACTTTTCATAATACATTTTATATGAACTTTTGGGTTTCAACCATTTTGTACACCAAAATAAACTCACCTTTCCATTCTATTTTCAACAACAAAATGTTTTTCAACAGAAGTCCCCTTGTACATGTTCCAGTCAGGTTTATACCTGACTGCAAGCTCTGCATCCTCTCTCTAGCCAGTAAAACCCTTCTAGAAAGTCTGGTCTGAATCTGTTGGGTTCTAGTGTGAAATGTCATGGTAGACTTGGAGGCCAGCTCTGGCCTTACAAAGCAACAGCAAGGATCACCAAAGCCAGCATCGTTTCTCAAAGCAGCCCTCCTTTGCTTCAGCTCTACAGAATGTGACAGGAACTAGAGCTCTTCATTTATGTTAAATACACAAGTTTTTGTCCTACCTGAGCAACAGGCATGGAGTGCAAACATTTCAGTGAAGCTCCGATGCAGGATCACGGTCACAGGGTCACAACATCCCTAAAGCTACTAACCACGGAGGCTCAGCCACTCCCCAACCTGCGAGTCCACACATGGTGTGATGGTCTCTACTCTGCATGGGCAGTTACTGGTAAAGTGAGAGGTGGCACTGTGGTCAAAGTGGAGTAAGGAGCAGAAGTCGGACACAATGTCAACACAAGCTCCCAAGCTGGGCGCAGTGCTCGCACTGGCAGAGAGGTGCATGTGGAAACTCAGAACAGTGACCAGAACGGCAGCGGGTCCATGGTATGCAAAGAATGAACTCATCCACTCTGCACAGAAATTGGCACGAGTATGGATGAGTTCATGTCATAGCCCCAGTTTCCTGTGGAAACCCCTCCCAGTGAGGCTGCAGTGTGGGGCATACATACCGCAGACGGGACTCCTGGAAATAGCAGCCAGACGAGGCATGGAGACTGCAACTGAAGGACAAGGTGGCGACTGCAGAGCTTCAAGCAGCCCTTGAACTGTCCTAAGAGGCAATCTCAAAAGGAGTCAGATGCTTACAGGCCAGGCTGAGTGCTCCGGATCTCCGAACACTGAGCCTGGCTGCACGGTGATCCCTTTAGAGCACCTCTGTGCTGCACGGGTACAGATCCAGAACTCGCTGTTGAGAAGCCCTGGCTGTGCCGGCCCAATTCACCAGCAGTGTACCATTCCCTGAATAAACACCACTGCAAAAAGCTTGAGCAACCAGGCTCATGGATCCCAGGTTGGTGGGACAATACACAGGGGACTCCCAGATGACCTCACTAACCTTAATCATGCAGATCCACTGCGTCTCATGCGTTTCAGGGACCATAATCATGAAAACCCTCTAGGCTAACATGAATTGCTTTCTGTGTCTTAAAAATTTCATTGAAATGATTAGTTTCTTAAATCTTAACGAGCTGGGGCCTAGCAGAGGAGGTATTTGAAAAAAACAGGCATTAAAGGGCACCAAAGCTGAAGACTGCATAGTGACTGGCAATGCTTCACACTAAAGCCCTTCACCCATGCCGGAATGCGTTTTTAGTGGAATGGTGGGTACTGATGCTATTAAAAGTATAGGTTACAGGCCTGGTGCAATGGTTCAATTGGCTAATCTTCCCCCTGCAAGCACTGGGGTCCCATGTGGGTGCTGGTTCATGTCCCAGTTGCTCCACTTCCCATCCAGCTCCCAGTTTGTGGCCTGGGAAAGCAGCAGATGGCCAGAAGCCTTGGGACCCTGCACCCACATGATGGACCTGGAGGAGGTTCCTGGTTTCTGGCTTCAGATCAACCTAGTTCCAGCAGTTGTGGCCATTTGGGGAAATGAACCAAATGGAAGATGGAAGATATTTCTGTCTCTCCTTCTCCCTCTGTAAATCTGCCTTTCTGATAGGAAAAAAAAAATTTTTCAAATAAGAGTATAGGCACAGTTACTTGAAAAAAAGTTCATGGAGAATACACATTATTTAGGGAATTTTGATCTGCCTGTTCATTTCCCCAATGCCCCTAGTGTTTATAACTGTGCGGTTAAAGCTGAGCTCTGGAAATTTAATCCAGGTCTCCCAGACTCAATCACTTCAATCATTATTGCTGCTTCCTAGGATCTATACTCCTAGAGTTGGCACTGAACCAGGCCCTCTGATGTAGATATTTTAACAGGAAGACCAAATGCTGCCTCCTATATTATCATCACCATCAAGATTTATACCTTAGGGGCAAACATTGTGGCACAGGAGGTTAAGCTGCCACCTACAGTGCTTGTAAACCACATGGGCAATGTTTGGAATTCTGGCTGCTTCCAATCCAGCTCCCTGCTAATGCTGCTGGGAAAGCAGCGGCAGATGGCCTAAGGGCTCAGGCCCTTGCGTCCCTTGGGAGACCCTGATGCAGTTCCAAGCTCCTGGTGTTAGCCTGCCCAACCCTGGCTGTTGGAGGCATTTGTGAAGTGACCCAGCAGATGGAAGATCTGTCACTCTGCCTTCAATAAAGAAGCCTTTTTCAAAAGCAAAAAATGTTTGTCGGTCAAGGCAATTCTAACAAAAGACTGGCAATTATCTAAATACCCTTTAATGTTTGAATGTATGTAATGTGGGCAGGCATTCGGCATGCTGTTAAGACGTTACTTGGGGTGCCTGGGTTCAAGGGCAGAAGCTGCTCCTGACCCCAGCTTGCTGCTAATGAGCGCCTGGGGAGGCCGCGGGTGATGGATGGCTCAGGTGCTTGGCTTTCTGCCACCCACATGGGAGGCTTGGATTGAGTTCTTCAATCCTGGCTATTCATATTCTTTGAAAAGTAAACCAGTCATGGAAGTGCTCTTTTTTCCTGTCTTAAAAGTTTTTGAAGAATACATACAGTACAATTAACTTACAAGCAAACTATTATACTTTTGGGGGGTAGTGGTGATGGATTGCATGATAGAACCTTAAGTTGTACATTTTAGAAAAGGGGTGTGATAAAGCAGGATAAGCCACTGCTTGGGATGCCAGTATGCATACTGCAGTGCTGCTTACAGCTCGGTCTTCTGCTTACTGTCCGGCTTACTGTCCGCCCTCAGGGAGAAAGGCCACTCTCTTCACACACACGGCTCACTTTTGCAGCCTGTCAGGATTCTTCCTTTTTAATATTCAATTTAATTAGTTTAATATTTTTAAAGTTTTAATTCTTCCATGTGAAAGGCAGAGATCCAAACAGGGAAAAACATCTTCCATCTGCTGGTTCAGTATCTGAAATGTCTGCATCAACCAGGGCTGAGCCAGGCTCAAGCCAGGAACTCCACCTGCAGCTCTCTGGGTGGCAGGGACCCAAGTACCCGAGCCTGCCAAGGTGCGCAGCTCACAGGAAACTGAATCCAAAGTGGACTGAGGCGAGCCTTGGAGCAAACACTCCGTTATGGGAACCAGGTGCCCCAAGTGGTGCCTGAACTGCTGTGCCCAATGCTTACCCCCTTTCACGAACAGAATCTGTATTTTATTCCACAGTTTGGAACCAGAGAATTCACAATATTAGATAAAAACAACTTGGTTTGAGCAAACTCACGTGTGCAGAGGTCGCTTTTCTGTCCTTTCCAGATGCAAGGCTGCACTTGTTCGATATCCTGAAAGGTTAAGGAGGTGGTGGAGGACAGGGACAGAGACGACACGGGGGCAGGCGTAGTGGAAGAGGGATGTCCCAGCCCACAGTGGAGTGCCGAGGACTGAATCCCGCCCCTGCTCCTGCTCCGACCTCCTGCTATGACATGCCCTGGGACACAGCCACCCGAACTCTCCGATACTCATGAGGGGAACCAGGACAGAGGTCCTGGCTACTGGCTTCAGCAGATGTAACACCTGCTGCTCTTTCAAATGAACAAAACTAACTAAAAAAAAAAAAAGAGAGAGAAGTCTAAGAAGCAAAATCTCTACATCCTGTATCAATAGTAGGTTCTAGCACCTTTTATCTGTTGTAAGCAAAGACATTCATTTTCTGTTTGTTCCGTGAAGGCACCATGTAGTCCTTCAGGAGTCTCAACCACTGAGCTGTAATCTGATAACTAGCTCTCAACATGTAGGCCAGAGCTCCCCAAGGTTTCCAGACTCAGCTATCCGTGAGGCCCAAGCTGTTTTCACAGTGCCAGGCTCCCTGGCTAGTTTTCACTTTCACTTTGTTGTGAACTTTCCCACGCTGTAACATGCGAAGGACTGAGTCTCCAACAGAAGCCTGCTGTTTCCTATCAAAGCCACGCAGCCAGACTTTCACAAAAAGGTAAAATACTGCCGCTCTTGTGACCAAACTGTGTCTTTGCTTTGGGAAGATAATTTTTTCATTATGATATTAACATAAGATGTTTGCTATTTTAAAAGAGATTACCCATTTGAAACATTCCAGTGTTAATTTTCTAACATGGTAGATCCTGTGGAAGTGCCGTTTTTTCTAAGGGTCTTAGGCTCACGTCTGGACAGGTGCTGCTCGCGCGGGAAGCTGTCAGCAGAACACACCTACACACCATCAGCTTACACACAAGGTTCCTTACACAGCCAATGGGATTTTTCACATGCATTTTTGAGCAAACGGGACACCACATTCAATGCAAAGATAGCAAAAATTTGCCACCCTTCTTTTGCCCACGTGTTTCAGAATGGGAGTCCGGTTTAGCAAATTGTACAGTTGAACATTAGGCCTCATCCCCTTGCCGGCTCCATTCAGGATGCTGGGGAATGGATCGCAAGAGCAGCACCATTCTTGACACTGGAGTGTGACTGCTGCGTGCCACACAGAGCTCACTCCCCAAACACACCTTGCACATCACTTCAAGACGGAGCAGAATGACAGACAGCTTTCACTAGCATCAATCACTGAGGCTCTGAAACCCAGAGGCTCCTGCAGTCTAAAAGAAAACGGCTTCGCTCGGCGCTCGCATCCCGCCAGTCCTGAACACAGCTGATTGAAGGCTGGAGTTGAGACTGATGGTTGGTGAGCTACACTGATCTACCGATCGTCTGCACAAACCTGCAGGGGCCAAGGCAGCTCGTGGGGCGGAATTTCCAGACCTGAGTGCACAGGAAGGTGGCAACCTCAGGATGCCAGGTAAAACGCCGGGCTGGTCTGTGGAATCCAGTCACTAACTGCTAAAGACCAATACTGCTAACAGAGTCAGAGATGTCTTCAATCTTCAACATGATGGGGACAAAACTCACAACCCAGCCCAGACCAGCAGAGAAAGCTTTTATTACCACAGAGGAAATCGGGAGATGCTGGAGATTACACACGCAGAGCAGCTTTGATGACAGCGTGTGTGATGGGCAAGGGGCTGGCCAGGAGGGGCCTGTCAGCATGTCTGGGGAGTCTCCCACCTGTCAGGAAAGGGGTGTGTGTGGAGGGGTGAATGCAGACTTTCCTAGACAAAGGACAGCCAGTGCCAGGATCAACAGTCGCACACAGAACCTTAAAACCGAAATCAAATTAGGCTCACTAAATTAGGCAGTGCATTTACCTCGACGGCGACATGAGGAGGAGGGAGCACTAGGCTGCACTGTGTAGCCTTTCCTTCAGAGAAGAGGCTTTAAGTTAAATACTGGCAGGCCTCGCCCCCTGCTAACAGTAAGCAGCACACAATTTCCAAGGCAGCTCTTAACACTACTGGTATCTTTGTTATCTGTTATTATTTGGATTTTGAACAAAATTGATAGAGTAGGAGCCAGTGGAAGAATCCTGTTTGATCTGGAAATTTTCGGTGGAGAGCCCAAAAGGTCGGAGAACCAAGTTCCCAAGATCTTTAAGTTTACCTGCAATGTAAAAGCAAAAACTAAAATGAATACAAGAATAAGCAGAAGCCAAAAGACACCAACTGACCCTGCTTCAGGCTGACCATTCTGGAAGTCTCAGCTGAGCTGGGTGAATGAGTAGTTTCAATCATTTCTAAACCGTATTTTCTTTCTTCTTGCAGGATGGCTTCCAGTGGAGATCAGAATGAGGGTAGACAGACAGAGAACTCGCTAGCACATGGAGGGACAGATGCCGTCCCCCACCACGCCTGTTCGCAGCTTTTCTCCCTCGCACGCCTCTCACCTACAGTGAAGCTCAGCTCAAGAGAAAGAGGCATGCCCTTTAAACTTTTTAAAGGGGTCTCCCTCTTAAAGCGTGGGGAGAACTTGTGGTCTTGGTTTTAAGAACTAACCCCCAGACATGCACTGCGTTCAAAGAAAGGCTTGCTGTTCTTGGAGGAAACATTAACAGATGAAGGTTCCAGAACTTGGAATGACTGTTCTCCAGGCACTCCTCCCAAACCTCCCTGGCATCACTGTGCCCAGGGCACTGCTCGGGAAGGACAAGAGCAGAGTGTGGGCACCCAGCAACAGCAGAGGCTCGGACCCCAGCCCCAATGGATAGTCTAGGTGGGGGTCTCAATGAGCAAAGGCAACGCAGGACATCCTCAGGAAGACTGAGTGGTTGACTCTGACCTAGAACTTGGGCAGTGTGCCTCTGAGTTCAAGAAGAGCACAGGAAGGAAAAACCCATTTTACAGATGCCCACCTGTATGTCACTGCTGGGATACTCTTGGCTCTTGTGACGTGGAGTGGGGAGGCAGAGTCGGGGCAGCTGCCTGCTAGAGCAGCCTGTCCCAGGCTCCCCGCGCCCCTGGACAGAAGTAAGCCCAACCCAGAGAAGCACCTTGATGAACAAGCTACATCTTCACTTGGCATCAATTCTGGGAGGCACTGATAGCCAAGGAGAAAAAGTAGATGTCAGCCTTTGAAATTTCCACAGGATAGTGCGGACACAGCTGCAAGAGGCCAAATGAGGCCTCTTCTACCCTGCCCAGGCACCAGGCAGCCTTTCTCGGAGTGGTGACACCCTGCTCTGACCTGCAGACCAGCAGGCAGCCTGAGATGCAAGAGCCTTCTGTGACTTGAGGCCGCTCCGCAGTGTGTGAAGTCGTCTAGTATCAGATGACAGAGTGCAAAGGGGGGAAGTCCTCCTTCACAGACCCGCACCTTGCCTACTGCCTGAAGGACCTGTCTGCCATGTAAAGCCTTGAGGATTAACCCTACAAAACTGTATTTCTCCAAACTCAGGGGACAGAGCTGCTGCACCCTGGAGCCCATCAGCACATCAGTACTAACGCCACCAGCATCACCACAGCTGTCCCTACCCAAAGTCCTGGGCCAGGATTTCTCTGATGAGCAACCATGGCTCTGCACTGGCTCCCTAGCACGCACCACGCTACAGTGGACAACTACTGCTTCCCACCATCCCTTAGCCCCGCCACAGGGTTCAGAGTACTGGGCCAGTCCCAGGTTCCCTTGTAGCCATTTCTCCAATAAACAGCTGGTATTCTAATTCCATCTTGGCCCTCCTTTTCTCATAAAACCCAACCTAAAACACAGTATTTGTTTTTCTTTCTACTCCAGTAATTCTACCTTTATTCATCCCACAGTTGTACCAATTATTATTATTTTTTAAAAGATTTATTTATTTTTCAAAGATGGACTCCCAAAGAAACTTAACTATATCTCAACAATAGGATGTTGGACTCTTTGCCATTGTCCATTCCCACACTGATGGACATATGACTGTTTATGAAGAACTATACTATAGTAATAATACAGAGGAACTCAGTGGGAGGTGGGGGAACTTGGGGAGGGGATAAGGAAAATCCCAGGGCCTATGGAACTGTATCATAAAAAGATAATAACAATTTTAAAAAGTAAAAAAGAAAAAAATTAAAAAGATTTATTTAGTTTTATTGGGAAGGCAGCTATATAGACAGAAGCAGGCAGAGAGGAAGATTTACCATTCACTGGTTCACTTCCAAAGTGGCTGCAATGGTCGGAGCTGAGCCAATCCCAACCCAGAACCCAGGAACTTCTTCCAGGTCTTTCATGCAAGTGCAGGGTGCCAAGGCTTTGGGCCATCTTCTGCTGTTTTCCCAGGCCACCACATGGGATCCCAGGTGTGCAAGGTGAGGACTAGCCACTAGGCCACCATGCCAAGCCCAGTTTCACCAATTACTACTTTCAGAATAACAGAACATAAAATGGGAAACTGTACTCAGCGAAGCCACACTGGAGAGTGATTCAAAAAGTTTGTGGAAAGTGGGAATAACGATGTTTTTTCTGATGCAGAAACATTTTGAAAACCCAAGCTTATTTTTTTCATAATAGTTTTTAATGAAAATTTAAATCTCTTTGTATAGATTTCAAATTTCATTTATCTTTTAATTTCATTTTTATAAACTTTTGAAGTATGCCTGTACATATGGTACCTCCCAGGCAGCAGACACTAACAGGCCACGAGTAAAGAGTTCTCCACATCAGAGGAAACCTGAGATCACCTAATTCATCCATTATGTACTAGGGCCACACATGCGGACCGTTTGTGTGGTGGGAATAAAAATCTGTGACATGTTCTATACACAATTAAACTCTGACAGGAAGGGAACTCACAGAAAAAGCAGTTCCCATGCAGCTGACCTGTAACTCTAAAGAGGATCTATGAGAGGAAAATTCTTGCTGGTTCAGGCAGGAAGGAGACTTGGCCCAATCTGTATAAAGTTTGCATCCGAGGGGCAAGTGCTATGGCGTAGCAGCTCTGCTTTCACCTGCAGTGCTAGAGGGCCATACGCGTGCTGGTTCTAGTCCCAGCTGCTCAATTTCCAAGAGAGATCCCTGCTTATGTCCTGGGAAAGCAATGGAAGAGGGCTCAAGTGCTTCCTCTAACGCGGAAGCCCCGAAAGCAGCTTCTGGCTTCAGCCTGGCCCATCCCCTGGCCATTGCAGCCATCTGGGGAGTGAATCAGCTCAGAGTTAAGAAAACCTCTAAGGCCCCTGCATAGTGGCTCAGCGCCTAGATCTTCACCTTTCCATGCGCTATGATCCCATATGGGCGCCAGTTTGTCTTGGCTGCCCCACTTCCCATCCAGCTCCCTGCTTGTGACCTGGGAAAGCAGTAAGGGATGGCTCAAAACCTTTGGACTCTGCAAACTCACAGGAGACCAGGAAGAAGCTCCTGACTTCAGACAGACTCAGCTCCAGCCATCGTGGCCTTTTGGGGAGTGAACCTTCTCCCTGTATATCTGCCTTTCATTTCCAATAAAATAAATCTTGAGAAAAAAATCTCTTCCAAATAAGTGAAATCTTACACACACACACCCAACACACACACAAAAAAACAGTTTGCAACCAAACCACATAATGAAGGACTGTGATTAATCCAAGATGAATAAGGAGGTCCGTGCCGGCTAAACAAGCCTGAGCAAGTGTGCTGGGGAGGCCGGCAGGTATGCAGAGCCACGTGCCCAAGGTGCAGGCAAACACAACTCCTCCCACCAGGTTCTCCAAGCCAGGCCCCATAACCTCAGTTCATGTGCCCTAGGAGGACACTGGGGTCCTACAACTGAGCTTTGAGGGTTACTAATCCTGTGCTCAAGTAGGAAAGGAACCAGAAGGGAAGAGCCTACACGTGGTTTTGGCAGTTACAAAGTCAGTGCAGCTTTATGGGAAGCAGGCTATTCAGTCTCTGAACAAACATCTGAATAGCTATGGTGCTTGGTATAGTGGTTGAAACCAGAGGTTGGCCAGGGGGGAACAAAACGCAACAAAGCAAAACAATACGGTAGGACCAGCTTGTATTCTGACGCCTGAGTGTCACATTTTTTTTTTCAAAGATTTATTCAATTTTATAGGAAAGGTTTACAGAGAGGAGGAGAGATAGGAAGCTATTCCATCCACTGGTTCACTCCCCAAGTGGCCACAATGGCTGGAGTTTAGCCAATCTGAAGTCTGGAGTTTCTCCTGGGTTTCTCACATGGGTGCAGGGTCCCAAGGCTTTGGGCTGTCCTCCACTGGCAATGAGTTGGATGGGGAGTGGAACAGTCTGGACAGAAACTGGTGCCCATATGGGACCCCAGTGTTTGGAGGGGGAGAATTAGCTACCTGAGCCATCACGCTGGACCCTGTTTGCTGCTTGTTAATGGCAGCAGAGGGGTAACAGCATTTGGTGGAGACCACAACCTGAAATATACACAACCACACACTTGTGTCTGTCTGGAATCAAGCTGGTTGTGCAGACACGACAGAAGCCTCCCTGTACCAGAATAGGATCACTTGCTATGTGCTTGCCACACTTCCCACTGGCCACCTAATTCCATGCCTGCGCCATTTAAGTAGTTGTCAGTTAAGTCACCTTGATTCTACTTACAGCAAATCTAGTACCTTCGCTTAGTCTGAACAGGTGAACATGGTACTAACTGGTAGAATCTCCCTATCAGACCAGAACCCACGGCAGAGTTGAATCACAAAGTACCTGTATTCTTGAGGCTGGAGATTAATGGCTCCCATTAGATCTGGGGTTCTGATATTTACCTGCCTCCAGCATAATGATACTACAGCAACAGCTGGTTCACTGTGCATGTGTCCTTTGGGTGTACAATGCCTTCAGCCCTTAGGGTCACTGAGGCCTGGGTACAACGGAACAGCTCATTTGGGACTTTGCCCTCTGTTTAGAAGGAATGAATTGCATACAACTGAATCTTATTGTTGCATTTCCTCATTTGTGACAAGAAACCAAACCATGCAGCGAATCCGTGCTTTCCTCTGATCAAAAGGCAAATCAAGAGAGCCCAGCACAGAGAAGACAAAGTTCATACCCAATTCAAAAAAGCATACTCGCTTTTTGACTTGATGCTGAAATAACTTGCCAAACTCTGCAGAAGTAGTAGGAATTACTCTTCTGGGAAGAGAAGTGTAATTCACAATAGTTAAGACATGGAACCAACTCAGATGCTTATCAACTGATAACCAGATAAAGAACATGTGGTAGATAAACACTATGGAATACTATTCAGCCATAACAAGGAATGAAATTTGACTTTTGCAACAAAATGGTTCCAGCTGGAAACCATGAAGTTTAGTGGAACATGCTAGCCCTAAAATGACACATATCCTATGTTCTCTAACAATAAATAGAGTGCACGCACACACACACGTAATCTCTATCAGTGAGATTAGCATGCTGGAAATTAACTGCTGTTCACAGCCTCTGTCTATTCTCCCGAATAACACGATATTCACTTTTTTCTTTTTCTTCTATTTGCTGTCATGGTACCTTTACATACTGGAACATTAAGCCTATTACTGTGAAGCAAATGAATATGCCACTGTACTAACTTGGGGAATAAAAACAAGGGGGCTGAGAGACACGGAAAAGGAGGGGAGGAGTTGCAGGGGGACCCGGCGGCGTGGCCTAGTTGCTAAAGTCCTTGCCTTGAACATGCCAGGATCCCATATGGGCGCCGCTTCTAATCCTGGCAGCTCCACTTCCCATCCAGCTCCCTGCTTGTGGCCCGGGAAAGCAGTCGAGGACGGCCCAAAGCCTTGGGACCCTGTACCCACATGGGAGACCCAGAAGAAGTTCCTGGTTCCTGGCTTCGGATCGGCACAGCACCGGCCGTTGCGCTCACTTGGGGAGTGAATCATCGGACGGAAGATCTTCCCCTCTATCTCTCTCCTCTCTGTATATCTGACTTTGTAATAAAAATAAATAAATCTTAAAAAAAAAATCTATATCATGGAAAACATGAAATCTATAATTAAATATAAACAAACACATTTTATAAAGAGTATTATGATTCCTTATGAAGGACTACACCATTGTAGTAAAATGGGGAAAATCTGTCGGGGGTGGGAGTTTGGGGGGGAAATCCCAGTCTAAACAAAATTGTAGCACATAATTCAAAATTTCACTAAAAGAGATGAGGACACAGTATTAAGAAAAAAAGTTCATATATAAAAGCTATGTGAATATAGTATCTGCTTATATCTGAAACTTTCTACTTAAGATTTTCATACCGAGCTAAGTAAAACTGAGGAATACAAAACCACAGATAAGAGGGACTATTACGTTTCCATTCCTACTTGTGTAAAAATATCACTTTATGCCTATGTTGTTTTACATTTACGATTGTCTTAAAAAAAAAAACACTAAAGTAAAAAACCATTAGCTTCAGCAAACACAAATAACAGGGCCAGTATCGACAGCTGTTCCAAAAGGCTTCTAGTCAGCCTCCAGGGGTGCACTGCACAGGACATCTGCTGCCCCCGCACCACGGCCCTGACCATCCCCCCAGTCCTTTTAAGCTCATCTTCCCTGGTTACTGTGGCTGAGGGGGCCATCCCAGACACACAGGTGCTCACTGTCCTCGGAGGAGCACTGGAAGCTCTCATGGTCCTTTCTCTGGTTAGGGCTGCGCCACCATGGCCAATGTCTACCCTGGGTTTCCAGTCTAATCTTGCTACTCATAAATGACAAGCTAGGAAAGGAATAACAAATGTTATCCTGACTGTAATAACTGTTTCGGACATCACCCAGAAGGAGTGGGGCCCATAGCACCTACAGGAAAAAGGAAGTTGAGGCACAGCCCATCGAAAGGCAAAAGCAAGTCAATGAATACTGAACAATCTAAATAACCTCACAGTATTCTACACTAATGACACTCTGCAAATGCCAACTACACAGTGCTGCTTTTCATGTCTTACATCTTTAACTGCTAATACTTCAGCAGAAGCCATCGATTTCACAGCAACGAGTTAGCAGTAAAAGCCAGACAGTTCACTATAAAAAAGCCTGCCTCAGAAAGTAACAGCAATTTATGCTCAGCACGAGTGCCCACTAGAGATCTCTGTGCATGGGCCAGTTACCGCACCTGCAACAAGGAGGAAGACCAAAGTGCCCTTGGGAGGGGATGGGCTGAGACTTCTAGAGTTCGTTCCCCCTTCCTCATTATCTGTGGTGGGGCAACAGGCAGGGCACTTTTTTATTCATGATCCTTACAGTCATTAAGAAATAAAGAAGTCTAGTCACTTGAGCTAAATATACATTATTTAGCAAGCAACTGCAGCTGTCTGATGGGAGATGACTAGATTATAGAAGCGACTGAGGGAAACGACACAGCTGGAATACTGCAAATGAAGCGAAGGACAGAAGTAAAACCCAAAGCCATGCCAAATCATTAGAGCAACAAGGACGGAGGCTCTGATTTCATTTGGCATCACAACGGGCTTAAGACTTGGTCTGCACTAGTCCCTTCATGGTTTTGGACTGGCTCAAAACAAAAAATAAAAACAAGAACAAAAACAAAAACAAAAGACACACACCCAGAAACCAATTGCCCAAGAGAAGCCTCCTCAATCCACTAAGGACCATTTACATGCCATCTCTTTCAGCATGAAACTCAGCTCAGCTAAAACAAACCAGGCCCAGGATGATAGCCTTGTGGCTAAAGTGGTGACTTTGCACACGCTGGGATCCCATATGGGCACTGGTTCTAATCCTGACAGCCCTGCTTTCCATCCAGCTCCTTGCTTGCAGCTGGGGAAAGCAGTTGAGGACGGCCCAAAGCCTTGGGATCCTGCACCCATGTGGGAGACCCAGAAGAGGCTCCTGGCACCTAGCTTCAGACCAGCTCAGCTCCAACCCTTGCGGCCACTTGGGAAGTGACTCAGCAGATGGAAGGATCTTCCTCTCTGTCTCTCCAACTCTTCAAAAATAAATAAATAAATAAAAATTTTAAAAGGTAAAATTTCTTCTAATATTGTTAGTAGAATCAGGGAGAGAATGCTCTTTTTCCTTTGTCTTGGAACAAAGACGCTTCAGAGTAATTTTTTTGCTTTAATACACACAGCGTCAAGCTTAATTTATACACAAATTATTAGGGAAACGGCCTTGTTTAGAAAAACTAGGGAAAGCTCCAGAAATATCCTAAGCCTGAACGAAGCAGCTTTCCTTAGAGCCTGCTCTCCTCCACGGGGTCAAAAGGCCTTTGACAGTCCAGGTTCATGGTCTCCTCATTCAACTGCTACTGCCAAGATCCTCTGGGAAATTTCTCATTCTCTGCACACTGATGTCTGAAAGCCACAAACGGCCAGACCCAATTTATTTTTAACTATTCTCTTCGGAGCACACATGACTACAATATATCAAGTTCAAATAACAGATTTAGAAACTATTAGTGTAGAACACAGAGCAGATCTACAGCACGGAAGTGTCAGATTGGCCACCGACAGAATATTCTAGGTCTCTTACAACTGATCTTGTGATGTTCTCTGATTTCAAGTACAACAAAAAGTCACACATAAATCAAAACTTCCTCCCCCATTCTTCCTCCCCCTGTGCATTCTTAATTCCTTACCTTCTTGTGTTCTTGAACACCAAAGGGATCCTCAGTGCCATTTTCAAAACAGGTACGTCCTTGCTTCTGACACGACCTTGGCTATAGTGACTGCAACCTAATGAGCTGAGGGCCTTTTGGGTTGACTAGTAAGTGCAGTAACCCAACTGTTTGAAAGAAATTACTTTATGAAACAGGTCAGTGGCGGCCCACCTGACAGCTGATTCATGTTTGCGCCCTTGCAGTTTTGGTTTCTGAAAAACCCGACAGCATCTCTAACTATGCTGTTCCTTTTGGCTGGAAAGCCACTGGCCCCATACAGCCACTATCTGGAGCACAGCAGGGACCCCAAAGCTATTCCCAGCTCTGAATTCTCCTAGAGTGAATCACTCTCCAGCTCCAGCCTTCTACGTGTTTGTGGCCAAGAGAAGAGAAGCAAACTTACCCAACATCTCTGCTTTCAGTCTTTCATTACGTTCTTCAATTTGCTTAGGTAATCTCTGAAGGGAAAATAGGAAACTGGAGTTAGTGAAAAAAATCGTTAATTTGAGAAGTGTTCAAATTCTAACACGGTGCTCTGTTCAACAGCACAAACGCCATGCAACAAAAGACAAATGTGAACACAGGGTCATACATGCATGCTTTTCCTGATCTTATCAAATAAGGAAAAAGCTACTTATCTGTAGGTAAGTTATACAAAGAGGAATCTTGCTTGATTTGCTGGTGTGATTTTTTTGAGTACTCTCAATGCTGAGATCAAAGGAGGACCACAAAAGAGCTGGTAGAAAACCCCCCGACCTGTCTGAAAGGACACACACCAGATACTTGCTAGCAGAGCATTCCGCTGGTGGGATTGCAGATATGTATGATTTGAATTTCTTTTTCTTTTTTTTTCTGCTCATGATGTTTTCTAACTTGAAGTGCCTGGTTTATACAACCTGACTTACTGAGAATGGTCAGATCAACTTTGGATATTGTTCAATGATCAAGCTCAAGGTTCCCCAACCCTGAGACTGACACATGTGCCGTGTACCATAGGATGTTCAATGCCATCCTTCGTCTGTGTCCACCTGATGGCAGTTTTGATATCTGCAGATATGGCCAAATGGAACCCAAACCTACGCAGTGGAGAGGTGTGGACTGGGTGCTGGGATGCTGGTTTCAGTCTACTCCAAACTGACGGCTGCAGCCACTTGGGGAGGCAGCCAGCAGATGAAACATCTCTTACTTTCTTCAATTCCAACAAAATGAGAAATTATTAAAAAAAAAAAAAAACTTCAAAAATACAGTATGTCCAACATATTACATGCAGCATAAAGAGCTTCCTTTTATATAAAGGGCTTAAAACTGAGCCCAGCACTGTGGCATGCTGGGTAAAGCTGCTGCTTGCCTGCTTTAGCCTTGCTTATTGTGGCATTGGGGCGATGTGCCAGCAGAGGGAAGCTGTCTGTCACTCCCTCTCCTCTCTCTGCAACTTCGCCTTTCAAACACGTTTTTTTTTTGTTTGAAGATTTATTTTATTGTAAACTCAGGTTTACAGAAAGGAGACTGAGAGAAAGATCTTCGATCCACTGGTTCACTCTCCTAGTGGCCATAACGGCCAGATCTGAGCCAATCTGAACCCAGGAGCCAGGAACTTTTTCTAGGTCTCCTATGTAGGGAGGGGTAGGGTCCCAAGGCTTTGGGCCATTCTCTTCGGCTTTCCCAGACCAAGAACAGAGCTGGATGGGAAGTGGAGCATCCGGGAAACAAACCGGCACCCATGTGAGATTCTGGCAGATGCAAAGCAAGGATTTAGCCACTACGCCATTGCACCAGGCCCAAATAAAAAAAATTTTTCTTTAAATTGGAAAATTTGATTTACCGTGAGAAGACAAGACAAGAGAACACTAAGCCAGGAGCTTCTTCTGGGTTCCCCAGGTGGGTGTGGGTCTCAAGATTTTAAGAACCTTATTTCCTCTCTTCATGTCAAACTGAAATTAATCTTACCACCACTCAGGCTATGAATGCTGTATACATATATATACATTTTAATGATCTAAGCTAGTTTCTCATTACTTCATTTCCAGATAACATTTGTAATTAATTAATTCTTCTGAAGAGGTAAAAACAATCATATCAGATATTAATAAGAAGAGATCAGCCAACACGGCTCAGGTTTGCTTTGAGGGAAGCTAGTTCTGTGAAATGAGACCCTGTCAACAGGGATTCAAGCGCTCCCAGGAGCCAGACAGACAGGGAGTGAAGCTGAGTAAAGGAGTTGATGCAGGGCAACAGGGAGTGGTGAGGTCAGCGGTGCGACGGGGCAGCCTTAGAAGAATGTAATATATAGCTTCCAATTCTCAAGAGAAGCGAAACTTAGATTTTTAGATAACAAAATCCTTTTTTTTTTTAAATGTTGGCAAGTGGTCTCAATAAGCAAAGCGAAGCCTGGTTTAAATAAAGCCTGTCTGTAGCCCGCCCCCGCCGGCCGGCTGCTCTGAGTCTCTGCCGCACGCTGGGGGTTCACGATCCATCCGAAAGGCTTTCTGCAAAGTCTGGCAGCAAAGAAATCTGTTCATCTTGCCATCTGAACTCATCTGAACTTCCATAATCTTCTGGGCAATAACACACACATCCGGCTCTCCAGCATTTGAAGTCTGCCTCTATGGCCGACTCAGAGATCAGTAAAGAACCGAGATAAAGACAAAAGCATAAAATTTAAGATATTTTTATTTATCTGAAAGGCAGAGAGACAGAGAGACACAGAGAGAGAGAGAATATGAATCTTCCATTCACTGGCTTATTCCCCCAAAGCCTACAACAACTAGGGTTGGGTCAGACCAAAGCAGGAGCCAGTATCTCCAACCGGATCTCCCCCATGGACAGCAAGAACCCAGCCTGTGAGCTGCCTCCTGTACACTGGTAGCAGTGTAGGATATATAAGGTTATCTTGGGATATATTCAACTAGAAATGTGCTGGACATATAATAAAAAAAAAAATTTGGTAACCTAATTAAAAAAAAATTGGAAGAAAGCCACAAACTTGTAGGGCCAGTGCTGTGGTATAGGGTATAGCATGCTAAGCCTCCACGAGTCTTGGGCCCCAGAACCCACATGGGAGACTCAGAAGCAGCTCCTGGATCCTGGCTTCAGATCACTGAGCTCTGGCCATGGTAGCCATTTGGGGAGTTAACTAGTGGATGGAAGAGCTTTCTCTCTGTCTCTCCTTCTCTCTGTAAACATACCTTTCAGATAAAATCTAAAAATCCTGTTAAGTTTGTTATCTCTACTACACAAAGTCACTTGAGACTAAATTACACAACAGTGGACAAGATCTAACTAATGTAACAATACAGTGACAGTTCTTGACAAGTCTAGAGATTCAAAACTTACACATGCTCTTGTTATAACAAAGATGAAACAGTGCCTAGTCACTGGGAGTTTGCAGTCACCACCTCAAAGATTTTTTTTTTTTAACCTACCTATCTTTAAGAAAAGATATAAAGATTGATTTAGTTGAAAGGCAGAGTGATGGTGGCGGGGTGAGGGAGAGACAAAGAGACAGAGATCTATCCAACGGTTCCCTCCCTCCCCACATGGCTACCACGGCAGGGCTGGGCCAAGCAGAAGGCAGGGGCCGGGAGCTGCCTCAGCTGCCTGGCCTGGACGCATGCAGTGGTCAGGACCTGCCTCAGGTGTTCTGACATGGGATACGGGAATGCCAAGTGGCATGGAACCTGCTGAGCCACAAACACGTGCCTGCCCATCTATTTTGATAAGCTCTTCAAAAGCATTGCAACAGGATCTAGTTGAGCCCCAAAAGATTTAAGAGTCACTAAACAGAGAATACAAGAAAAAGTGTTTTTAGAAATGTCCATTTACCATACAAGCCTCTCTGGCTTGATGCACTGATGGGTCTTTCTCGAGTATAGATTTATAGTCCTCTAGGGCTTCATCTAATTTGTCCGTTTTTTCGTACAACTCTGCTCTCCTCAATATTGCTCTGATGTAGCTGGGGTTTAACTGAATTGCTGTAAGAATAAAAAAAGAGAGAACAAATCATTGTTATCACCAAGAAAAAGGGTGTAAAAACCTTTGATTTTAAATTCTTTCACCAAACATCCTTCCAGAGTATCAAACAAAGGGTCACTGCCAAGGTACCCGAGACCAGTGACCTTTTTCTGAAAAGGGCACAGCAGCCCAAGGTGAGGCTTTGTGGGAGAGACCATCTCTGCACGAGGACCCGGAACAGACACAAATAAACGGGGCCGTGCTCCAGTGAAATCATTTATGGACCCTGAGATCTGAATTTCAAATAACTTTTGCTTACCATGAAACAGATTTCTTTTGATTTGATTTGCACCCATTTAAAATGTAAAGATCATTGCTTAAAAACAAACTGCCTGTGAGCCCAGTACAGTAGCCTAGTGGCGAAAGAACCTCATCTTGCATTCCCCAGGATCCCATATGGACACCAGTTTGTATCCCGGCTGCTCCACTTCCCTTCTAGCTCTCTGTTTATGGCCTGGGAAATCCTTAGCACCCTATACCTATGTGGGAGACCCGGAGGAAGCTCCTGGCTCCTTGTTCCTGATCAGCTCAGCTTAGCCTTTTCTTTCTGTGAATCTATCCAATAAAATAAATAAATATTTTTTAAAAACTGCCTGTTTTATAGACCCTAGAAAAAAAGAATTTTCAGCAAAGAACAAATCTTTAAAACGTTCCTTTAATTTTAGAATTCATTACTGTGGCATAGCTTAGAATGTCAGCTCTGTTTAAGGAACAGAATTGACAACTAAGCAAGGAAATATAATTTATATTATAAAATTCTTGTTTTTAAAAAATTCCTTAAACAGCAAGAAGAAATTCTTAGCTTGCAGGTTGTATATGCACAGAAGGCATGTTGTGTAGGTTTAGGGGGTACAGACTGCTCAACATGGACTACACTGCAAGGCCAGCATCTGCCCGCTTGTCCTCTACCCAGTCTGGAATAGTCCAGAACATAAAGGTCAAGTGCACAGTGAATAAGCAAGAGAAAATCTGAAGGTACAAATTCAAGAGTTGAGGGCTGCCTTCTCGTTAGAGTCCATCATTCTCATTTCCCCAGGCTTTACCTTATGACAGTATGCTCCTAGCTAAATCCCGACTGATCCTTCAACTACCACTCGTGCTTCTGCACTGTGAGGTCACTGGTCTACGCTGCCCTTTCCTTTATCCAGCCCCTAGTAACCCCCTGCCGTGTGCTGTCACAGTAAACTGTGTTTCTCCTACTGCGCTTTGGGCTGTTTATTTTTCCACTAGAAAACATGTTATGTAGCACCTACTGTTTTATATGTTTTATATATACATATATATCTTATGGGTACTGTAGTAAAAAAGGCAGACAAGGTCTTGCTCTTATGAAGCTTAATGCTATTTTAGGCAAGCAAAGACATACACAGGTAAACTTTGAGGAAGGCCAAGGAAAGTATACCAGGAAGAGGGATGACCAAACACGAGGACAGTAAAGCAAGAATAACGTAGGCATGTTGGAGATGAGAAGAGAGTAGGCTGAAGGTACAGGCAAGGACTGAACCACAGAGACCCTCCGTGGCCACGGAAAGGAGTGTGTGATGAGATCTTCAAGTAAGTTTAAAACAGGATCTGTTTCACATTTTTCAAGACCTGCTCTGGCTGCAGTGGGCGGGGCAAGACCAAAAGCAGTGAGATCAGTTGGGAGGTTGCTGCCACGGCAGACAACAGGTGATGCTGGCTGCGACTCAGGTGCAACAGTGGAGGTAGGAGAAGGAAGTCAGATCAAGTGCACACCTTTGCATGTGACCCCATATGCACTGCCAATCAACCAGCCATGCGAAATACGAGAAAGAAAATAATTAGCAACGATTCCAAAGGTTTAAGTGAGTGAAGGAGTGGTAATGTCATTTATTAGAAAGTAAGAAACTGTGAATTATATGTATTTATGAGGTCTGGCCATGTTAAATCTGATATTCCTTTCCATATCTCCAAGAAAAAGTGACATCTGTGTAATGGGATACAGGACTCCAGACCACAGGTCAGAGCTGAAGATAGGACTGGAGCACACAGATATTTGTATTGCTATGAATACACTCCTTTTGTTTCCTTTAGTTTCGCTTAACATAATTTCTTGAGAAAAATAATAAATAAGCAAAGAATACTTATTTTCATTTCCTCTGAATCTGAAGGAAGAGAGAAAGATGAAGTCCTATTCACTGGCTAACTGCCCCAACGCCTGCAACACCTAGGGCTGGTCCAGGTAAAACCTCAAACTCAGAATTCAATCTCAGTCTCCCAAACAGGTTTAGGGACCCGAGCACTTGGGTTACCAAGAGCTGATTCTCGGGATGAGTGTTACAAAGTTGGAGCTGGAAGCAGAGGCAAGAACTGAACCCAGGCGTAATGATATGGAGCAGGACTCCCAAGTGACATCTTGACTGCTGGGTCAGATACTGCCGCAACATGGGTTAAGCTTCTGTCTGTGCAGCCGACATCCCAAGCAGGCGCTGGTTCTTCAGACCTGATTGCTTCACTTCAGATCCAGCTCCCTGCTCATGTACCTAGGAAAGCAGCTGAAAACAGCCCAAGGACATGGCCCCTGTCTACCACATGAGAAACCTGGAAGGGAAGGCAGGGACGGAAGCCTGACCCAGACTTGGACATTGCAGAACCAGTGGATGGTTCACTGCATTAAACCAGCAGGCAGATTTCTGTGTAACTGTCTTTCAAATAAATGAACGTATCTTATTGTATTTAATTATGGTATACCAAACAATAATTTGAAACACATACATACATACACACAGACACACAGACACACCCACACACACGCTGCATGCATGCGCATACACATGGCCCCAGAAGCAGGCAGGCAGACACACCCACACACCTGTCCCATCAACTGCCTCTTCCTCCAAATGTTGGTGCAGCAGCAGCCAGACTGGGATAGGTGGCAAGAATGTCATCCTGGTCTCCAGGGGGATGTCAGGGCCACAGTTACCAGAGCTATCACCTGCTGCCTCCCAGGCTGTGAACACACTGCTTCTTTATAAACCCCAGAGGAACAGTACCCAGGTACAAATGTTTATCTGACCAAAAGCCCTTGCATCCTTTTATCCAGCGGACGTATGCTAATATGCAGTAAGGGGAAAAAAATGGTACCTTTGGTGCAGTCACTGATGGCCAACTCTTTCTTGTCCTAGAAAGAAACATAACGTTAATGTTATCTCATTACTAATAACCGATTATGGAAACACAGAACACTTTTGAAAAAATCATATGAAAAAAATGTACTACTTCCAAAATGAAATTCAAAATACAGAAATGGTTCTGCTTGAAAACTTCCTGGTAATGGCATTAGCATTAGCATGCAGTTTCTTTTGAAAACTGTCTGACACTTAGAAAACTTCGTGCTCAATATAGCGCAATACCCAAAGTGACATCTCCCAGCAGCAGTACAGTTAGGTCATCTTGTCACGCTGCCTCAGTCATAAACCTTAATTTAGCCCTCGGTGAAACAAAAACAAAAACAACAGCAACAACAAAAAAGCACTTCAGCAAATAAGTATGTAACTAGCTTAACCTACTGAATCTAACAGTGTGACAGTGGGAAAGGATTGCTATCAGAACTGGCTTCTGGTCCCAGCCCTGACACGGCGCTGTCGTCTTACGATGGTCCTGCTACCTTCCTTCTCAAAGAATCAGTTGCTTATCTAAAAAATGAACGTGCTGGATGGAACGTTATGTAGGTGCCTTCTAGCTCTTTTTTTCCAATGAGAATTTTTTTTTTTGCAAAATTGCAGAAAACAGATACTTCAAATAAATAATGTTCTCATAAAGCCTACTCTAACAGAAGCTAAATATTTTGTAGAAATTAGGGCACTTTAAAAAGTTCATAAAAAATGTATATTAGGGAAAAACTATATAGCTTTCACAGTTTTTTTAAACATGAAAATGAACTTATTTCTGAATTCCATTTTTCTGAAAGCTTCTGGAAGTTTTCCCATATTTTAAAGCAATGTGCACGAAGCTGTGTTTCAAGACTTGTGATCCCAGACAGCTTCTGGATGGAGAGCGACTATTCCTGACTCAGGGGCACACCAGAGCTGGAAAAGCTAGTGGTGAGATGGTTGCATTAGCATTTAAAACTCCTTTAATGCCACTGACCTGAGTACTTTAAGAACAGTTTAAATGGTGAGTTTTATGCTATGTGCACATTTATTACAATAAACCAAACAAAAAATGTTCCACAGTCACCTGGGAAACACCAACTATAGTAGCTTACCAAATGGCCACACAGTCAATCCATGTATTCAAGTTTCAGGGGAGGATCAGCCTCGTGGCATAAATGGTTAAGCCAGTGCCCACTATGCTGGCATCCCACATGGGCACCAGCTTAAGTCCTAGCTACTGCATTTTTGATCCAGCTGCCTGCTAACAGGCCTGAGAAAGCAGCAGCAAAAGTCTGCAAAATTTGTACAAGTGTTGTGGCGGCACTGCTGTAACCACAGAAATTAGCACAACTTATCACTAATCGGTTCTTTCAATCAAGGAACTGTGCTGCCTCACTAAAGTAACCTTTCTTTAAGGTTCACCGCCAACTAACAACTACCACCTCAGGGCATCCAGCTGCTATCTGCTGTTTCAAGTGTTATTCCCCCAAGCAGCACGCTGTATTTAAAAAAAAAGTCAAAACTTAATTTAATTTTTACTTTTACATAGATACTTAAACCTCTAACAAATGTACAGAACATATAAGCAAAGACAGAAGTACATAATACTCTTGTAGGAAAAATCTGCTTATTCAAAACAAAGTATAAGGAGCCTGGCATGGTGGCAAAGCACGTTGATCTTTTGCCTGCAGAACCAGCATCCCATATGGCTACTGGTTCATGTTCCAGCTGCTCCACTTCCAATCCAGCTCCCTGCTTATGCCCTGAATTAAAGCAACAGAGGATGGCCCAACTCCCTGAACCACACATGGGAGAGCCACAGAGAAGCTCCTGACACCTGCCTTTGGCCATTGAGGCCATTTGGGGGGTGAACCAGTAGATACAAGACCTCTCTCTTTTATACCTGCCTTTCAAATGACAGTAAAAAGTATTTTAAAACAAACAAAACAAAATCCACATAGTACATAATATACTAGGACATTTGGTTTAAAACATTTAAAAGCCATTCCTTAGGGCTTTGTGGGTTTAGAATCAAGGCAGAAAGTCAGTCCTAACTCCCATTAGCTTTTTCTCTAGACACAAAACATTCGGTCAGGACATTCGGATGCCAATTTTGCAAACCTTTTAGAAATTTTTAAAGAGTTAACTTGTCATGTCCCTGGAAGTTCAGAAGAGGTTCATTGCACAAGCCTGCAAGCTCTCAAATCTCTTAAGTTCAGCAAACCAACTACTCACTGCACAGCACACGGTCGCCTGGCAACGCTCGGCCAGTTCTCCTGAACACGACCAAGACTGAGCAAGAACAGATAATCTCAATCCTCAAACCTGGAACTATCAATAACCTGGGCAAACGTGCAAATAACGCTACATCTCCAAAGCCACAGGTGGATGGTGCATTTTTTCTGACACGGAATTGTCAACTTGCTCCCATTTCGTGACAGTGAAGCCCAGAGTTTGAGAATGTGCCAAGATGGAGAAGGAAACACCAACTCACAACCTCCTGCTGTCAGCACTGCTGGCGGTGACTTCTGTTGGCTGTGAATACACCAACAAATACTGTTTTAAAAAACATAAAACTGCGTTCTTTTCTTTAAGATTTATTTATTTTTATTGGAATGAAGATTTTCCATCTGCTGGTTCACTCCCCAAGTGGCCGCAAAAGCCCGAGTTGAACTGATTTGAAGCCAGGAGCCAGGAGCTTCCTCTGGGTCTGCCACATGGGTGCAGGGTCCCAAGGCTTTGGGCCGTCCTCGACTGCTTCCCCAGGTCATAAGCAGGGAGCTGGATGGAACTGGGACTGCTGGGATTAGAACCAGCACCCATATGGGATTGCAGCGTGTGCAAGACAAGAACTTCAGCTACTAGGCTACCGCACCAGGCCCCCAAGCGGCTTTATTTTCTTGAATACAAAATGCTTGCTCACACTCTTTAAAATTATTTTTCTTCTACCAGTAAACACAAAAATTTCACTTTGGAGGGCTGGGCACAGTAGCCTAATGGCTGAACACCTGATCTAAACCAAACCAACCAACGAAACCTACTCTACTCCATATTGAGCCAGCTTTATGACTGCTTAGACTCAAACAACCTGCTCTGTACTCTAGATTAAGTATAATTAAACAAGAGGTATTTAAAAGCAAAACAAAGAACGCAAAAATCCAACACTTCAATCTAATGAGACTGTTGAGTAAGAAAATCAGACAAGCGAGCAACAAATCTAACCCTTAATAGCAATACAGTAAGGAAATGAATAAATTTGTACTCTCACCCACTGTACATTCTATACCACATTCTTAATCCTCTAGAAATACAAAATGCTGTGATTTCCTGACATCAGTTTCACATTAATGTGGTGCCGTTCATCACAGTGGCAATATTTAGCAGAAAAAAAATCAGAATGTTAAGTACAAACAACTGTAAGCCTACAGTTTCATCCAGCGCTTCCAGGTTCCGTGCATCTTTATCTAGAATTCTAGAAGCCTAAAACAAGCTGCTGCAAGCTGTTTCTAGGGCACGTACTACTTGGTCCTTGCTTCCCTAACCTGCCCCAGTTTTTCCTGCAACGCATTCAGAGACTTGAATGGGGAATATCAGCAGTAATTTTACTCAAGTTTTGTAGAACATTTTACTGTTCCGTCCATCAATATATTATCAGGAGGGTGGGAAGGTAGCAGTAGTATCTAAGTTTCAGTACTAGTTTTTGGAAAGTAACCACCCTTCTGAAACAACGCAAGCCCACGTGCTTCTTGAGAAGAAAAGGTCAAGCACCCATACCTGCTTCATCCTTGCGGCAGCTCGATTTGAAAACAGAATGGACCTGTCCTTCTGGAAGCAGGACGGGCACATCTGAAGGGCTTGACTGTAGGAACTTTCCGCTTCCATATAATCTGAGGAAGACAAGATAAAGGGTGAGTGCCCAATCTGCTCTTACTCCAGATCCACTATATCCCACAGGGTCTCAATGCACACAGCGTTTTGTTCACAGGATAAAGCTTTCAAACAAAAAGTGATTACAGCCTGTTGAGTGTCAGCAGTAGAAATCCCTTGCCCTTTTGCTCTTCCTTGAAAGAAACAGGGCTTGGCTGCCATCAATCTCATGAAGGTACTTTGTGAACCAACAGACATGCTGTCAATGAAGAGTCCTCAACACTTAGGTGTCCCTGCACATTCAAGACATTTTAGCTTGCATTTGGCTCAGCAATCTGGACAAGAGCTTTCCAAGGAAGCTAAGGAATTAAGCAGATGAAAAAGGCTGAAGTTTGGGATCTGCAATGGGCATTTAACCTAGCAACTGGGATGCACGCAGCTCCAGCCTCCTGCTAATGCAGACCCTGGCAGGCAATGGTGACGAGCCAAGTCGGCGTGCTTCCACCATGCATGGCGAAGACCTCGGCTCACTCCCAGCTGCCAGCTCTGACCGAGGCATCTGGACAGTGAACAAGCACACAGGAGGTCTGCACTTGTCACCTTGCCATTTTTACTCTGCTTCAAATTTGGGGAAAAACAAAAAGACTTGGATCCATGACCTGGGCAAATTCTATATATAATTTCATTAATTCTCATGCTTTCATATACTCATTTTGGCTGAAACAGTATCTGTGAAGTACCTGCAGAGACATTTTACAGACCTAAAAGCAGCAATGTAAAAACCAGTACTAAACTAAAAACACTCAAAGAGAAAATGCTGGTAAGGTTTTTGTATTCTTATCATACGCAGAATTATACTAAGAGAAAACACCTTGTTCATTTTTTCCCCCTCAGGTTTGAAAAACTTTCCATAGGTCTGAAATATTTAATACTAACACAAATATATATATTTTTCAAAACTAAAACTATACAGTTTCATTAGATTAAAAAGCAGTAATGACTGCTAAGCCATGATATAGCACAAGTAATTTAAAGCTTGCTTTGAAATTTAATTCATTTATTTGAAATGGAGAGGGAGAGGAAGGAAGAACAGGCTTCCATCTGCAGGTACACTCCGTAACACCTACAACCACTGGGCTGGGCCACGGGGAGTCGGGAGGCAGAAACTCAGATCCAAGTGTTGCACCCAATTGCTGGAGTCCCACCTCTCAGCTATCCCTTGCTGCCCGCAGCCATGCGCATTAGCAGGAGGCCGCCGGCAGGAGGGGAGCTGACACTGGAACCTACAAACTCCGCCGTGGAAGGAGGCATCCTAACTGCTCGCTAGATATCCCCCCCTCATTCCTATACCCTTTCTGAAATGTACATTCTGAGACGTGACAAATGGTTGCTAGACAATTAAATAGCTTCTCCTCAATTACTGTGATGAATCTGAATTCCTAAGCAGTTGTAGGAAATGCAGTAAGGATGAAAAAGATCTGTCTATTTAAGGCGCCCAAGGAAAAAGGCACGTTGAAGAGCAGAGAATGCATAAAGGACTTCGCTAGGCCTTGCTGTGCTCACGAGGCTGTCTTCACAGCACTGTGCCCAGTGAGGGAGGGGCACTCTGCTTTACAGCGGCAAGCAAATAGCAATAGCTTTAGAGTTCTACCCTTGATCTTTGTATTAATGGTGAATACAGAAAAGAAAAACCAATGCTGGCTGGAGTCAGCTGAGAACTACTCAGACATGGTAACCCAACTCCAAGCGGCTGGGAAGCAATACTGTGCCTCGAATATTCCAGGACTGCTAGTTGTTACCAAATGTTACTTAGTGTTTCTTGCTAGACTCTGTAACAGCAGGAGTCAAGGCAAGTGGTGTTGGTGCTAAAACGCATCTTACCTCCTTTCTTAAACTGTTCATTTCCTTCCTCCTTTAATTTAGTGCTTTCTTCTCTTCTTTTCTGAAAGAGATCGAGGAGTTAAAAGGTCAGCTTTCTTAACACACAGGTCTATTAAACAGCAAACTGACTTTTTTTTTTTAAAGTGTGTTTTCAGTGGCTGGCATTATGATGTAGCAGATAAAACCATGTCTTTTAACACTGCCACTCCAAATGGGTGCCTGTTTTAGTACTGGCTGCTCCACTTCCAATCCAATTCCTTGCTATTGCACCCGGGAAAACAGCAGACGATGGCTAAAATGCTTGGACCCCGTCACCCACAGGGCGGCCCAAGTGAAGTTCCTAGCTTCAGCCTGGTCCAGCACCAGCCAATGTAGCCATTTGGGGAGTGAGCCACTAGAGCAAAGCCTTTGAAATTAATACTTTTTTTCTTTAAACAAGGCTTACTTCCATTTATTCAAAAGGTGAGCAGCAGACGCATAGACAGATCTTTCACCCACTAGTTCAGGCCCCAAATACGGCCACCGCCACCGCCAGGGCTAGACCAGCAAGCTAGGACCAGTAACCAGGGGTCCAGAAGTCCATCTAGCTCTCCACCATGAGTGATGAGGTCCCAAGCACTGAAGGCATCATCTGCTGCCTACCGGGTGCCCAGAGTACGTACTGCATCATAGAGTAGCACCTAGGACTTGAACTGGAAGGCGAGCATCCCAACCGACAGCTTAGCCAACTGGGTCACAATGCCTACCCACAGACTGAATTTTGAAAACTGATGGCTACCACGGTAACCGGAGGAGGGCAGAGTTTGCCTCCAACCAAGCCAGGAAGGGTTGGTGGAATTCTGGCGGGCCCCTCAGGCTGTGAGACTACCGTTGTACCAATGAGTGGCACAGACCTATACCGCCCCCCACCAATAAGGGCCGAGGAAACCCCCATTTTGGCTTCCAAGTTAAGGAGAGTTTAAAAATCTCCATTCCCCGTCTATTTTGTGCTCTTCTTCCTCTGCAGCTCACTCCTCATGTCTGTCCTTTCTGCTGCACAGGAAAGGGAAGCCCGTGACCGCGGCTCCCTGAAATAAAGGCCATCTAAATGCTTTTCATATATTTGCACGAGTTATTCTTTCCCTGGTGGTCAGTGAATCTAACATTTTGGCAAGTGGCAAATCTAACAAAAACTGCATCAGTTTAACCTAAATTTTAGAATAGTAAGGGGGGGGAGCATTTTGGTTAATCACTAATTGCACTTTTTATGCTTCAGTCACAAAACTAAGTTTTCTTAGTCATTTCCTGATTCCCATCTGCTGGCTCACTTCTCCCAAATAAGCACCAACAGCTAAGGCTGGGCTGTTACTGGGAGCTGGGAACAGGTTTCCCGCGTGGGTGGAAGGACCAAACACCTGAGCCATCACTGTAACCTCCTGGGGTTTGCATGAGTAGGAAGACGGTCTCTGGAGACAGAGGTGGGTAAACTGATACGGCATGATCACGTCTTAGCCAGCATTCTATACACTATGCTCACTGCGCGGCCCTAGGAAGGCAGATTTCCCGGTGAGACCGGGGACTCTTAGGATCAAAGGGTGGTTTTAAAAACAGGCTAAGAAAACAAATATCAAGTCAAGACAGCTCTGCTAAGTCAAAAAGCAGAAAATCTAAGTATCTTTTTTTGAAAGTCGGGCTAGAATAGAGTTACAATGGTAGCACAAAAATTTATAATTATTCCCTTAATTTTTGCTTCATTTGATGTATATTCAATTTCATAATCAGAGCTATTCAATAATCTAAATATAGGCCACACACCTTAGCTGTCAAGAGCAGAGAGCTAGGGACACAGTTTATAGCCACTCAACAAAACTACCACACAAGAGAATTCCTCCAAATAAGAAGAGGGGCTGAACACTGGGAAGTCAAGAAAAGTCCATAACAAATCCAGTTTTAACATTGATAAAATATAAATCCTTTAAGAGTAATTAATCAAATTATTAGAATTTAATGTCTGTCCTTTGGCAACTTGTGGAATCCTCCAGGTTCACTCTCATTTCCAATCACTTGCTCACTGATAACTTTTTCCAAGCCAACTCCTCAGGAATGTTCTGGGAACACAAATAACATCACTCACTGTCAGATCAAGCTAATGTGAGGCATACGCGTGTGTGTTTTAGGAAACTAACCATTTCTGACTCAATTTTATCATCACGATCCCAATGGGCAAAGCCAAGGTATACCCAGAGAGGAGCAATGGACAAGGGCCAGCCTGAGAAAAGCTTATCATATTTTATATTTCAGTAACGAGGAGGACTAACACCTGAGCTTGCAAAGAGAAGGACTCCAACACATAATTCTGAGGTCAACTATAAATGCACTTAAAAGTTTAGGGAAAACTGAATTCAAAGATAAGGTTATGTTGGTGCCAAAAGAAAAAAGAAATTCATGTACAGCATTTTCTGTGACATACATTCCCAAGAATTTCTGAAGCAGCCTCACTTTTTAAATGAGATATTTTTGTTTGGCTATTAAACCACAACTGAGCTTCACACTAAGGAGTAAACGCTGCAAAAGAGGTACTGCTTCCCTCTCCACAGATCCTGTAGACTGAGAATTAATGCAATTATCAATATCATGGGGAACATCTCCTTGGAAACGTCTAAAAATAGCACTTTGAGGAGAAAGTTGAACTATCTCCCAGCTGTGCCGAGACTAACTCAATTCAGTACAAAGACGGGGTTTATTCTGCTACGGAAGCATACGCTCCCTGCAGACAGACAGGCATGCTGTGTAATGGCACAGGAACCCAAGGACAGCTGGGGTACAGTGCTCAGGTCTCGGCAGGTGTAGTGCCAGGCGTGTTTGCATAAGCAGGCTCTGGTGGCACAGACATCCTGTCGCACTCAGGCACAGATTTTTTTCTGGCTCCGTTCTATAAACAGAAGCTCCTAATGCGGTTAGGAGCCCCCTTGCACGCCTCCACAATGCCTCTCAACATATTCCAGAGGCCTCACAGGCAAACATTTGCTCTTGAATCATTCTCATGGAAACCAAAGAGCGTTTGTAAGGGTTCTTTACTTAGTACTTCTCCCTTTCTACCCATGGAAACTCAGGAGGAAATAATAATATTACGCTGTGTTAGAAATCATCACAGGTACTGCCAAGGAAAATTAGAAAATTAGAAAATGCCCTTAATGAAAGGAGTTTATTTTAAATTTATTTGAAAGGCAGAGAGACGGAGAGAGAGGGATGGGACCTTTCCCTAACAGGGCAAGGTGAAGCCAGGAGCCAAGCACTCAAACCAGCCGGCTGTAGCAACGCAGCCTCCTGGACGGCCATGGCTGCCCTCGGTGTACTACACATTCTCAGGAAGCCAGAGTTGGAAGTGAGGCCGAAACGGCTACTCATGCACTGGACAGAGGACACAGGTGTCCCACACAGCAGCACTGTCACTGTGCCAAATGGCAGCCCTTAGATTGGACGCTACTACAACCACCATAAACGTCTAAGCTTGCTATTCAAAATTCAGTAAAACCAGCACGAGCATACCACTTCACTGCCTGTCATCTGCTGTCACGTACATCCTCAGCTCATTCACCTTCCAAGACAATACCGGGCGGCACAGAGCTCTCCTCACAGGTGAAGAACCAGCACCGACCTGTGTGCTTCACACTACACATCACACTTCCGTTCCAACCTGCCCAACCCCGTCTCCCACGGCCACCCGACGCAAGTTCTCCCTTCAGGGCAGTCTGAGCTCATTCTTGTCTCAGGAAACCTAGTATGTTTTTTGCTTTACTCTTTTTCTTTGCTTATACATTCCTACTCTGGAATGCTCCTTCATGGAACAACTCTTCCCTAAATCAAGATCTCTTTAGAAGTGATCCTACACCAGGTACACAGCTCTTTCAGATTTCTCAACCAAGTTCCTCTAGGTTTTTTTGGATTTTTAAGATTTATTTGTTTTTATTGCAAAGTCAGATATACAGAGAGGAAAATCTTCCATCCACTGATTCACTCCCCCTAAGTGGCCACAACGGCTGGAGCTGCGTCAATCCGAAGCCAGGAGCCAAGAGCCTCTTCCGGATCTCCCATGTGGTTGGCAGGGTCCCAAGGCATTGGGCCATTCTCAACTGCTTTCCCAGGCCACAAGCAGGGAGCTGGATGGGAAGCAGGGCTGCCAGGATATGAACCGGGGCCTATCTGGAATCCTGGCGCATGCAAAGACCTTAACCACCAGGCTACAGCTCTGGGCCCAGTCCTTCTAGTTCTCTTCCTTCACCTGCCCTCCCGAGGGGGAGATCTTACTGCAGGTGTACGGAACATTCCAGGTGTCATATTTTGCTCTTTGACCACCTTAGACCTGGAATTAGCATTTTCCCAAGAAGTTCAGGACATTTCAGTGGAGAATCAGAATTAGAAACCAAGATCTATCTAGGTGCCAGTGGGCTGGTAGCAGGGCGTCATTCCTTTCAGACTTTCTCAGTGAATACAACCCAACAAACACATCTTCAAGTTAAACACAAACAACACGTGTTTGTGCAAACGCAAGTGAGACTCAACACCACAGGATTCTCTGCTCTTCCCCACGGTGAAAACTCTCATTCCCTCAACAGTAATACCAGAACGCCTAGGTTCAAATCCTTGCTCTGCTCCCAATTCCAGCTTCTTGCCAACACATGCCCTGCGAGGAGGCATGACCGTTCAAAGAGCTGGCTCCCGCTACCCACATGGATCCAAACGGAGTTTCTAGATCCTGGCTCTGGCTTAGCCTAGCCCCAGCTGTTGCGGACATCTGGAGAGCAAGCCAGCAGATGGTACACCTGTACATCTCTCTCTCTGCCTTCCCAAAAAACCACACACACACCAAAATACTAAAACAAGGAGAAAAATAATATGCAGGGAAAACAAATTATGAATTTTAAACAGAAAAAGACCAAGTGTACTGATGTATTTACAATGTTCAAAGGAAAAAAAAACATGATCAAGCAAGAAGAGTATATTTAGCAAAAGAAAGAGAGAATAAACACATTCACAAGTAAACAGTAACTAGCACCAAATCTCCTTTAGAAGACTCAATAA